CTTCCTACACTTTTCTACAAGAAAGCACAGGTGACTTTGGCAATAAGGAAATCAGGTGTTCACCAGAGAACCCACTTCTATAAAGAGGAGCTGATCTAAGAGACGAATGACATTTCTGAACCTGGGAATGTACACTCTTCAATAGATGGGACAAGAGTGAACTAAGACGACACTGACCTCCACAGGGTTAAGAAACACTCATTCACTCATTCATTCGCTCTTCCATCCATGCATGCTAATAAATATTTATTGAGCACTTAGCATGTGCTGGCAGGACAACAGGGAACAAAACAGGACAGTCCTTGCTGGCACAGGGCTTTCCGTCTAACAGAGAGACAGAAAAAGAAGAAACCAGTAAATAAAGGCACAAGGATTTCAGGTAAGTTCTATGCAGACAACAAAACTGACAGATGGGGTGGAGAAAGACTAGGGGACTGACTCAGCTGCCTGGGCTGGGAGAGCTTACTGAATGACATTTGAATTAAGACTTGATGATAAGAAAGAGCCAGACACACGAGGAACTGGTGAGGAATCTTCTAAGCAAAGGGACTCTTCTCTACAAATGCCCAAGACTGAGCCTAGGACAAGCCCAGGACATACAAACGGCACCAGTCCAGAGAAGGGGAGTGGGCAGAAGGGAAGATGAGGCTGAGAGGTAGGTAGGGGCAACCCCAGAACCACAGAAAGAATTAGGAGTTTCACTTCAGCAACTCTGAGCCCAAATTCTGTGTCCAAATGAAAATCAACTCAAGTGGCCATGTGATTTAGAAATACACACATTTTTAAAACCTCCTCCAGTAAGAGAAACCAAAAAGACAAGACTGCATCCTTCTGAATAAAGATAGAGAAGAAATTACCCTTAGAGCTTAATGCAGGCTTAGCACACAATATGCTTACAACAAATGTGTGCTGAATGGATGCCATGCAAAAGCACTTTCAATTGTACGCATGGCTAACATGCATTTGCTTGCAAAACCATGGACAAGAGAGATGAGAGTGCTTAGAAAAGAATGTGAAAACAGAACACAGTCCATCTGATGCCACAATGCTGGTTACACTCATAGCACTCAATCCCCACAAGGCACATGGGCTTAAAATGCAGAATTGCCAACATATTGAGATAAATGCACAGGTGCCAGACGCATAGTGAGTTACTAAGGGAAACCAGGGTGGCCTGATTTTGAAATCTGACATCAGGAAGACAAGCCGCCCCTGCCTCACAGGCCCCCTGCCCAATCCAGAACCCGGGACTGACCCAGAGCTGGAGCTGTTCTCAGTGGCTAAGACAGTCATTTTAATTATTCCCTGAAAGGGGAAATGAACCTTCAAGATGTCAGAAGCCCAAGGTCAGGGTGAAGGCATGGCCAGCCATGGGCAGGGAAGCAGCCCCTTGTAACTGATTTTATGAGATCCACGGGCTTGTCTCTCCTCCGCTTCCAGAGGGCTAGGACCACATCCTCTACTTCCACCACTCCCAACCACGCCAGTTTCCTGCTCACATGCACCAGGAGCTCAGGTGTTTGCGGAACAAACGAACGAGCACCCAGCTGAGGCAGTCTATTCTGACCAAGCCGTGTGGCCCTGAATGAGATCCCTGGGGTCAGAGGCAGCAGGGACAGGACACTAACAGCACAGTTTTTAGACAGGAATCAGACACACGAGGAAATGGCAAAGGGAACCAGGAAAGACACACTTTCGAGGACACTTGATCCAATACTTGAAGCATCATCACATAGGAAAGGAATCAGGCACATTCCCTCTAAAGCCCCAGAAGCCAATCTTTGGCTGAATTCAAGGAAGAACTTCCTCCTAGCATGGCATTTGCCAGGCTGTGTTTAGTGGAATGCTAGCATTCCCGGGTTGGGGAGGGGAGGGGGATGGGGGGAATGATTCCAAACGATTGCATGGGAAAATACGTTTGGGAATTTGAGTTAATCAAAGGTAATGGATATTCTTATTGAAGGGCACAGCCTTCAGCCCTTCTCAAGTTTATGTGGCCCCAAACAGTTTTTCACAGGATGCTACAAACATCTCACAGAGTGTCTATGTCCCAAGTTCACCTCTGGGGAAAAGATGAATTAGAGCTGTCTCATACAAACATCTTGCGAAGGAAGGAAGGAGTGTCATACCAGAATTGGAGTGCTTTAAGGATGCAGAATTCAACACTGCATAGATGATACAAACACAATCAGAGTAGAAAATTGGAACTATGGGCTCATTCTGCTATCGACTTTCATCTTGAATGACCGAGTAGCAGGCAAAAAGGCCCAGTTACACGTGAGGACACAGACTAACTGTCTCCTCCCACCACTTGGTGTCCGAATGAGTGGGTAACATGGATATTATGGGCTTTCCAGGGGGCTCAATGCTAAAGAACTTGTCTGCCCATGCAGGAAATGCAAGAGACTCAGGTTCAATCCCTAGGTCGGGAAGATTCCCTGTAGGAGGGCACAGCGACCCACTCCAGTATTCTTGCCTGGAGAATCGTATGAACAGAGGAGCCTGGCGGGCTACAGTCCATAGTGTTGCAAAGAAATGGACATGACTGAACCGATTAAGTATGCATGCACACATGGATATTACAAAGGGATCCTCGAAGCAGTCAGTACTGTTCTGAGGAGCTTAGGAATAAGATGAGTACTTGCCAGAGCCCACTTTGACTCTCCTATGTACTGTTTTGTAGAAAATACTGTCTGCTTGCCTTCCTCCCGTGTACCTTTACATTTGGTAAATATTCACTGAGGGTCTTCCATATGCCAGCAGTGGGCACCAAAACCAGAAAAGGTGCTGCCTCACGACAGCCTCCTGGGGAATTCAGACAATAAACAAACATGCTGCACAAATAAGAATTTAATCCAGGTTTCCATACACATTACAAAGAAAATGAATGGTACAAATCAATGTTAAGTTACACAGAGACCTTGTCCAGTGTAGGACTTCGGGTTCTGTTCTCTAAGGGACCACAGAGACCATCTTTTGCCATTCTCAAACATGCAGGTCCAAAACATTCCTATAGGAAACTATAGTCCACTGGGGCTGGAAAAGGCCACACAGCACCCCTCCCACCCACATACACACAAAGCAGCCTCCACTCCAGCACAATGTCACATGACTATGACTCAGTAGGTCACAGTCAAATAGAGCATCACTGGCTCAATGTATATGAGTTTGAGGAAACTCCAGGAGATAGTGAAGAGGGGGAAGCCAGGCATGCTACAATCCATGGGGTCGCAAAGAATTGCACATAACTGAGCAAATGAACAATGACAGTAGGTCTGGATAAAGCTGGAGAGTTTGCATGTCCAACCAGGTGATGCTTCTCTGCCAACCACATCAGGTAGCACTACTTCATCAGGCATTTTAAACGACCTAAATAAACCGAGGGCTATACCATGTTCATGAACAGAGAGGCTCAATCACAAAGGTGTCAGTTGTCTCAGATTAATCTATAAGTTCATTATCCTCCCAACCAAAGTCTCCACAGAGTTGTTCTCTTCTTTTTTGTTGTTGCTTTTTTAACTTGACAAGCCGATTCTAAAATTCATCTGGAAGACTAAAATAATTTTGGAAAACAGCAAAGTGAGGGACCTGTCTTGTGGGTTCAAGGCTTAAAATTAAACTTTAGTTATAGCACTGACACACAGCAAAATAGATGAAGAGATCACAGTGCTCTCAAACAGATCTATGCTTTCAGTAAAACTTTATATGGAAGATGGCAATGACAAATCAGTATGGAAAGGATGAATGATTCAGCAAATACTGCTGGAGAAATTGGTTATTTATATAAAAAATAAAACTGAATTCCTACTTCATATCTTGTACAAAATAATATCCAGGTAGATTATATTCCTGAATGTGAAAAAAAAACTTTAAAACTCTGAGAAGAAAACCCAGAAAAAAAAAATATATATATCAACTTTGAGGTAGGGAACTATATCTTAAATAAGACACTCACTGTGCAAACCAAAAAGAAAAATACTGGCAGGTTTGAATTCAATATAGTTGAAACTTCTGTATGCTGTACACAAATAATGAAGAAAAGCCACACACTAAGAATGGTATCTGGTTAAATTTTAAAAAAATCACTCATAAAACTATTGCTCCTCTACACTACTATTCATCAGCACTATGGTAGGGGAGATTCTTCAATGAAGTCAGACCTTTTCAAACTGAAAAGCCTCAGTGAGCCTTTATCCAGTCTTCAACCCATAGAGGAAACTTTTCTTCAATTCCTGGAGCGCTGCACAATTCTGCACATTCACAGTGTAAATGATACCCTCTAGAGTTGTGCAGTGAGCAACTTATACAACTGTACATGGCAGCCCTGCAACTCCAAGGGCTACAGATCCCTTTGGAACACTGATGAAAAATGCCTGTCTCTGCAAAAATGCCTACCCGCACAAATACTGCCTATAAAGTCAGTGGATTCAGGCACTGTCTCCAAAACCATCAACAGCCTTATGTTGGTCAAACACTTCCAGGTATGAGGGCTCACAACCCGTGAAAGTACTTGCAGACAACACTGTGGGACTGCATTCTTCCTTAAGCACTTGCCTCTTTACAACCTCTCCCCACTCAGGTTGATCTACGTCCTTTCCGTGTGACCTTGCAGCTACTGAATGAAAGCTAACCTGTCCCCCCAGGAGACTTCTGCTTTCCAGGCTAAATATACTCTTGACTTTGTTTATTGCAAACAGTCCAAATCTTCTCTTTTGCTAAAAATGAGTTTTTAAACTGCCCATTATTTTACCAAGCACTTCTTGCCCTGGTAAGTAACTAGGCATGCTGACACGTCAACAAAGAACGAGAAAGCATTTTTCTCAGCTGTGCCCCTTTGGTAAACCTCTCAAGATCTCCATCCTGGCTTCTAAACCAGCCAAATGCCCACAGAAGCCAGGAAGTTCAAGGCTGGAGGCAGGGTCAGGTTTTTTCAGGGGTGGGGTGGAGGCAACCAGGACAGAGCCCCCAGGGGCCGAAGGAGACAAGGTGTTTCCACTTACTCCCAAAACTCCATGACAGGAGAGGTGGCGTTCTGCAGGGACACGTGGCTGTGGTTGGTTGCGTTCAGTTTTTGAAACTCCACGCAGTTCTCTGCAGTGGGAAACAGGACAAGAAACACAAGAAAATCAACCTCTGCAAGGGCTGGAGCTTAGCACAACATTCAGAGCTGACGGTGCAACGAGGTGGTTTTTACTCAGCCACTCCAGGTAAACATGCCTCACAGAGCACTGTGGGGAAAATCAATCACGTACAAACAGTTTGAGAGGGAGGCTTGGCTTGATTCCAACCAGAGAAGAAGTTTTGGGGGTAGGGCACCTCCTCCCTCTATTTCCCACTAGTACACCCTGTCCAATTCTTTCCTCCTGAATCTTTCACCTTTTCCACTTCCCTGCCTAAGGCTTCTCCATGGCATCTACCTGTTCCACCCTGGCAGAAACATGAGGGTTAAAAAGGGGCATCAGCCATGTTGTCCCTGGGCCAGCAACACAGGTGAGACTCAGGCTAATGTCACAGCTGCTTCATAAAGACCCGACAGTTGGATGAAACAATATCCGAATGTGTAAAGAATCCCTAGTTCCTTCATCATTCCCTCACTCACTCAATCTAAGAAAGGATTTATTGACTATCTCTTCTCATTTCATGAGACTTGATGACCAAGGGGGATTTGAATCTCAAGGTAAAAACATGAGTGTCTGTCCTTTAAGGCCCAGATCAGCCTATTACCCTCTCTTCCAGGAAGCCTTCTTTGATCTCCCTCTCCTGAATTCTAAGGAAGTTAAAATTTAAAAGTCCTCCAAGGAACCTCCTTCTCCAACTCCCCTTATTTTGAAGAGGGTCAGAAGTAGTCAAGGGCCCCCCACCCACACCCTCTCCCTGCTCACAAGTCACCAGCCAGTTAGGGGAAAAAAACAGTACCGCCAAGGCTGCATTTCCTTTACCACGGTTATTGCCTGGTTCTGTCTGCTACCACAGAATCCAGGTCTCTTTACAACACCTCCCTGTTCATAGAGCCGCCTTAGTCACCAGGCTGTGAGCTCCCTGAGGACAGCATCACGTGTGCCCACTCACTTCAAAGCCCCTGCACCCCGCACAGTGACCAGCCTGGAGCGTGCATTTAGCTTCATGCTGGCCCTTCACTCTGCTCACGTATGCACAAACCCTCCAACTACATCTATAATCGCTGGAGCATGAAGCCCTCCTGCACATGATACTTCACACATTACAATTGTTGACAAGCCTTCAGAGAAAGGGGAGTGCAAATCAGTGGGAGAAAGCTTTGCAGCCCACTGGGGGAAAAGCCCCCCAAGTGTCCGCTCCTTTCCCACTTCTCTGGACAAGTGCTAACCATACCAGGAAAGGAGACGGTCTGTGGGGTCCACAGCCAGTCTTAAGAGAAGTCTGGGAACCTAAAGTTATAAGCAAAATGCCTGAATGTGCCCTTGTGCCTTTTTCTAGAGCAAGGAGCCCTTAGCTTTGATCAGATTCTCTAATACAGTGTCTCTCAATTTTTTCTAGGGTAAAAAAATTTCTCAGACACCCAAAGTTGACAAGGCATTTTTATTAAAATAATAGTTATTTATTTACAAATAAGCAATGAGTTATAAAGCCTTTGGGGTTCAAGTATTCAAACAACTATGAAGCCAGATTTTACAAGTTAAATACCAACTATACTACCGAACCAACACAATTCAACTTGATAGCATAAAACGGGTGTGCACGATAATGCCATCTTGTGAGATTAAATTGATTTCCCAACAGAAAAATGGACCTGAGAGGTAGGAGGCAGGGCCTATGGAGTTAAACTTGCTTATTTTTCCATGCACTATTTGAGATTCAGTTCTATCACCATTCTCCTCTGGTCATGCATTTGCAGAACCTTCATTGCTACAGTTTACTGCATTCTTGGCTGGACTTAGTATCAATGACCATTTATGAATTAAATCTCTTTTTCCCTTGGCCACTATCATCCTATTCACCAAGAATGCATCTTAAATTGTCAATGTGAACAAAGTCAGGCACTGAGATCCCCAACCGTCCTCATTTATAAGGTGAATGTATAGATGATTAGAACATGCACATGTTTTTAGAGTACCCTCAAAATAAATTTGCACAATTAATTTATCATGGATGACTTGCAGGCCTCCAAGAATATGTCCTTGAATTTTAGTTTGATAAACATCTTGATTATGCTCCTGGGCAAAGAAAGGTTAAGAACCAGGGAGAGAAAATGAGACTCCCTGCAACCCCCCCAAAAATGTGCTGGGTGGGGGAACAAGGTAAAGTTTATGCAGGTATTAAAAACTAGTTCACAGCATTTTCTTGGTCTAATGACTGCCGTTCCTTCTGCCAGTGACCAACATCCTGCCCTGTCTTACTGTATCTCAGCTTTCAGGATGACTGGCCACTTACAAGGAAAACTAACCACAGGTTACAACACAGATGGTGAACAGATTAGAGCAGGTATGTTGACTGCAGTCAAAAGGCAGTGACTGTCTAGGGCAGTACTGAGCAGAGCTCCAAGGCCAAAACTAGACTCAAGAGGAAAGAGTTCTACAATCGATTAGTGATGTCTGTACAGAGCAGTCTCCATTCATAGGGGTTGAGAAGTACTTGTCTTCCTTAGATTGTAAGACTCAGTCCTGACAGGTTGACAAATTGATAAGTAAACAGTATATTAGAATTCAAAGTCATCTCAAAAGTTACCCACTGAAGGGAGGAGGAGGGTGGTGAATTCAGGTGTCTACCTGGGGTGGGCAGGTAGAATCAATGAGCCACATGAGCTGGGTGGGGACTGTGGCCAGCTTGAGGACAGATGCTTCAACCACAGACAACAGCCGTTTCTCAGCTGCAGCCACTACTATCAAGTACGATCAACTTTTCAAGAGAAGCCGGGAATCTGGATTTTCATCCCCAGCCTTCTGATTTTTCAATTTTTGAAAATACAAATACAACAAATACATTTTTGAAATGGGCTGGTCACTGATCTAAAGCCTAATTGGCTGACAGCCCCCCTGTCTGCAACCCTTGATCTAGTCTAACCCCTTCATTTTACAGAGGAAAATGTGACACTCAAGAGGCAGGGCTGGAATTGCAGCCTGAACCCCTGGATCTCAGTTTAGCACTTCTTACTTGCATCCTTACTGTGTGCCCAAAGGATGCAGCCTCTATTTTTGGCAAAGCAGGGTAAGAAAGGCACAATTCTTCTCCTTGTGCCAGTCCCTGGGCTAGTGCTCAGCTCATGCTAGTATGCAGACCAGGTACAGAAATGACCCCCGGCTTCAGTGGAATCTGAACTCACAGCAAGACACGTGACGCACCACCATTCCCAGCTCGCCCAGTAAGACCAGCAGAGAGAGCCTCCAGGGAGGCCGTACCTGTGTTCCACTCGTGCCCGCAGGTGGCCCAGGGGAGCTCGGTGGTGAAGCAGTTGCTCAGGTAGAAAATGGCCCATGCCAGGATAATAATGTAGTAAACGTTTAGATGGGCCTCAATCACCTGCGTTGCATAACCAATGCCTGAATAAAACACAGAAAAGGCAGTGATCTGAGTCCCTCTCCAACTCGTTAAACAAAACTTCCCTTCACAGCCTGACAATACCCCGGCATTCTTTTATTTTCTGATTAACTCAGCACTTACCTTCAAATAAAGGGCACACTTTCCTCCAACATGTAATGCCACCTTCACTCGTAAACTGTCCCAGAGCTGTTTCCAGGAAAAAAACAGGAATCCCACAGCATATAAAAAACACCACATAGGGAATCAGGAATGCCCCTGCAAAGATGCAAAGGAAAGGAATGAAGCTAAAGTTGCCTCCACCACTTCAGCCCTTGAAAACCTATTAGAGGCAAGATAGCATATGCTCTGAGCTTGAGCTCAAGTTCCTGCTATGAGGACCAGAGTCAGACAAGGTGAACCTGGATTTAGGCTCTCTGCCACCTACTCCCTTGAGTAAGTCTATGTCACATCTCCCAGCCTCAACTTATTCACCTATAAAATAAGGCTTTAATACGTAAGAACTGCACCACTTATCTCACAGAATGGTTGTACAGGTAAGAGGATAAAGTTTAAGAAACTGTGTAATATGCTTAAATCTGTCATTTATGCATTCTATCCTCCAGCACAAGTCAAATCTATTCCCTCCCTGAATGCTGTATCCTCCTTTTATATTATAAAGACCTCAATTGGCCAAGGGAGGGGGCCTCTTCTTTTTACTTTGGAAGTAACCTGCAAAAAATCTTTATAAAGAAAGGCATTCTCAAGGAGATATACAATGAGCAGGAATAGGTCCCTGTACATGAGCCCCAGGTATGGAGCTAAGATATGAGGAGTTCATAGCAAGAATACAGCCAGAGAGGCTGGCTTTGAATCAGTCTGGAGAAAAGACCACCTTAAGCTTTAGTGCTCCCATTTTGAAACACAATACCCACCGCCTGGGCCTTTCTGTGAAACAAATTAAATAACTGAGGTGAACATGAGCCATTACAAGCAGAAAGGGATTTTTCCAAATCCCTCATTCTCTCTCTGTCTAATAACAAAGCATGAAAACACACGCTATTCCCCGCCATCTGATCTCGCGAATGAAGGCTTTCACTGAAATTGCTTTTTGCTAAATGAAGTCCCTTTAACCCAGGATTAACAGCAATGATTTTGATCAATCCTGGTAATAGGACAATATTTACCACATTGTGAAAGGGTCTTAGCTCTTCTATTTTTACAAAGTTTTACATTGGGAAAGAAATACTAAAGTATTGTTGCAACTTATGAGTAGAGCTGTATAGATTTTTTTTTTTTAAAGAAAGTTAAACAGTTGATAAGCAGATTCCCCCAACTATATTAGAAGGCAAAAAGTGTCTGAAAGAAGATAAAAAGGGTCTGTTTGCTGAATCTAAGTGATTAAGACAAGCCACAGAAGTTTCCCTAACATGCTGTAATTTAAAATAAAATAACACTTTCTGAAGGCCTTGTGGCCTCTCTGTTCACAAAGCCAGTAATCCTTAAGATAATTAAACCAGGATATCTGTACACCCAGCAGAGATTCTTGTTGAGTTAGAGTAAAAAAAAAAAAATGACTCATTTTAAAACTGTACTCACTACAACCTTTTCTTAAAAAAAAAAATCTGAGAGTTTGTAATTAATGCAGCTTATACAATGTTCTGATTTTACAAATGTGTTTCTGGTTTTGGTATAACAATTTCCTGCTTAAAAAAAAGGGGCGGGGGGAGAGGTTTAAACAACTCTTGCCTGGGACAATCCTAAAGGGTTTCCACAGGCGTCTAAGCGGACACAGCAGCTTACACAGGATGAATGTGCAAAGAAGAGAGGCAGGCTCCCAGCTGAGGGCTCAGGGCACGTTCAGGGTCTCTGAGGCCACTCCCTCTCTCCCCGTGCCAAGCCACAGACACCGGCGGCCACTTCATTACCAGTGCAGGGCAGGCTTGGAGCAGCCTGTGCCTTCAGGATGAATGTCTCCAAAGAAAAGGGCCCTGGCCAAGCAGTCCCCTTCTCGCTCTCCCTGCAGCTGCCCGCACAGGAAGTCCTGCCCCGCAAAGCCCGACAGTGTGGTCCCTGCCAAACCTCTGAGCTACCTTTGCTGGACTCGGGATCCGCTGGAGGGACACAGCAAAGAGAGAGAGGAATGAATACACAAACACCGGCTTTTCTCTGCAGAAACCGTGCCCCTCGAGGTTTCACAGGGTCCCTTGCCATGGCCCTGCCAGCTGCTCTGTTGATAACGACAGGTGGGGGCTCCTCAAATCTGGAGGCCCCCCCTTCTTGGAGCTGGGAGATCTGAGGATTTAACTGCTGCGTCTCCACCATGCAGCCTCGGACATGCTGTCACTAGAAACGACTCTCTGGTCACCTTCGTTTCCCTGACCCCGGCAAGCTCTGCTGCTGCTGCTGCTAAGTCGCTTCAGTCCTGTCCAACTCTGTGCGACCCCACGGACGGCAGCCCACCAGGTTCCGCCGTCCCTGGGATTCTCCAGGCAAGAACACTGGAGTGGGTTGCCACTGCCTTCTCCAATGCATGAAAGGGAAAAGTGAAAGGGAAGTCGCTCAGCCGTGTCTTACTCTTAGCGACCCCATGGACTGCAGCCCACCAGGCTCCTCCGTCCATGGGATTTCCCAGGCAAGAGTACTGAAGTGGGTTGCCATTCCCCTCTTCACGGCAAGCTCTAACCACCTTCTAAACAGCAAGTCAGTACTGTTGCTAACTGTTCTGAGACCAAAGAAGCTGTTTTGTGCCCATCTTCCAACCAGACAGTCCTAGAAAGGGCCCTACGGGCAAATGAAAGGAAGGGAAACCAAATGGCAACGGGCCTCGCCTAAAGAAGTTCTCCCAGCTGTGCGTCCAATCTCACTTTAAAACCAGGCCTTTGGTGTCGGAACCCCACCTCTACCCCTTGGGGAGTGAGAGACTTCTCTGCTCCTCAGTTTCCTCCCCTGCAAAACGGGGAATATACCCCTACCTACAAAGACGACTGCGAAACGAGATGAGGTAAGTTGAGTAGAGTCCGGAGGCTGGCATTTCGGGAAGCCCTCAGAAGCCCGAAGCTGCTCGGATGACCAAAGTCCCCTTTCCTTCACGCGCATTTCCAGTCAGGAAAGCTGAGGCTCCAAGGGACTGCCTCCTGCCCGAGAACTCCCGCCAAGGGCTCCCGGCCTCGGTCTGCACCTCACGCCCGCGGGGACAGAACATACACCGGGCGGACTAGTGCCCGCGTGCTAGCAGGTGGCGCGCTCAGGTGCGAAGCCGGGGGCGCAAGCATGCGCACTGGGGCGGCGAGCGTCGCGCCGAGGGTCAGCTCTCGCGCCGAGGGTCAGCTCTCGCGCCAGGTGGCCCCGGGGCCGACGTCCCCGCGAGACTGGGGTCCCGCCACACGCAGGCGCGGGAGGGGGCCCGGCTCCCCGCCCCCACAGGGCCGGCTTCTCCCACCCAGTCCTCCTCAGGGCCGCGCGCGCGCGCGCGCGCGCCGACTCACCTCCGCCGTTCTTGTAGCACAGGTAAGGGAAGCGCCACACGTTGCCCAGCCCGATGATCTCCCCCGCCACGCTCAGAACGAACTCCACCTTGTTATTCCAGTGGCCGCGCTCGTGGACCGCCTTGTCGCGCTTGTCGCGCGCGGACACCGCGCCCCCGCCGCCGCCGCCGCCGCCAGTCAGCACCTCAGACTCCCGCGCCTCCTCAGCAGCCTTCCCGTTGCCCAGAGGCAGCGCCTTCTCCGCCGTCATGGCCGCGCTGGCTGCCTCCTCGTGCGCCGGGCCCGGCTCTGCGCCGCCGCCCCGGGCGGGCTGGCTTTTCAGGAGGCGCGAGCAGGCGGGAGGGGGAGGCAGGGGGTGGAGCTGAGGGGCCGGGCCGGGCCGGGCCAGAGCGGGGACGGGGACGGGGACGGGGACGCTGCGGCCCGGCCCCGCCGGGCGCCCGCGTCGCCTCAGCCCGGCTAGACCGGGCCTGGGAGCCCGCGAGCACCTTGCGCGCGCCGAGCACCTTGCGCGCGCCGAGCACCTTGTGCGCGCCGAGCACCTTGCGCGCGCCGAGCACCTTGCGCGCGCCCCTTCCCTCCCCGTGTCCTACCCACTGGCCTCTTTTTAGAAGAGTGGAAGCGTGCATTCAGGCCTAGACTGGGCTCCAGACACCAAGCCCTGAAGTTTCACCACTCTGTGATCTCCGAATTTCTGGGTCTCAGTTTCTCACCTGTAATAAGAAGAGCGGCTGTAGAACAGGCTTCTGCAGTCTGAGCGCCTGCGAGTCCTGTTAAACTGCAGACCCTGATCTAGTGGGTGGGGCAGGGCTGGAGCTTTTGCGTTTGTTGGAACGTGTGCGCCCAGGTGATGCTAATAATGTTGGCAGGGACCACAGTGTGGAAGAAGGGAGAAAATGAACTGCGGGGAAGAAAATGAACTTTCTTCCCAGCGCTCAGACTGTGAGCTCCCCTAGGCTAGTGACGCCTCCAGATCTTGTCCATCCTGGCGCCCACCGTTCTAAACATAGTGACTCAGGACAGTGTGGCAGTTAGATTTGCCTGTGGAAATGGGCAAATCTAATTTGAACCGCCATCTATCTTAGTCTTTTTAGTCGTGTGAAGAAGTCATCTGACATTTCTGTGCCTTAGTTTCCTGATTTGCAAATAGGAATACCAATATTGCAAATAGTGCTTTTGTTACAAATGTGTGTGTGTGGAGTTAATACGAAAATGCTTATAAAGTATTTAGTGTATTGGAAGTGCTTTATGAACATTATCATACGCTGTGTAGTCACATATAGTTATGTATCATCTTGTTTAATATCTGTCTTTCCACTCAACTGAGAGGGTGATGTACCCACCTTGTTTATTTTAAAAGGCATAGAACCTAACACAAGAGCCTGCACGTAGTAGGTGCTAACTAAGTATTTGTGGAGAGAAGGAAAGACCAGGGGAAGGAAGAAAAAAAGCAAAAGAAGGTAAGGTTTGCAAGGGGCCACAGAGATAGTCAGACCCCCTCTCTGTGATTTCACAGTCCTGAAGAAGTCCAGCCATGTGAGCTGTCTGTAACACCCCACACTGAGCCCTCCATCCATCCCTTGGAGCTCTCTCTGGGGCTCTGGAGAAGAGCCTCCTTGTCTCGTGTCCTCAGCTTCTCCTTCATTCTGGTGTACAACTGCTTGAGTCTCTCCCCACCTTTATCTCCCCCAGAAAATGCTTCCAGTTTCCATCTTCCCCTTTCAGGCTTCCTTCCTCCCCTCCCCCTCACTATCATATTTCTTGAAAGAGTAAGTTTACATGCTGCCTGCCCCTTCTTCACCTCCCACTCATTCCTCAGCCCACAGCAATCTGGCGTCCACCCCCGCCACTCCCCTGAAAATGCTGTCTGTGAAGTCCCGGAAGCCCTCTTAAGTTGACAAATCCTACAGTTCCTTGTCCCTCCCCATCCTGCCTGATCTCTAGGTCGCTTTCTGCACCATTATACCTGTCTTCCCTTCTTAAAATTTCCACCTGCGTGGTTTCCTTGGCATTGCCTGCCTTTTTTTTTTTTTTTTACTGTTTCTCTTTCCGCTTCTCTGGTCCTCCTCTCTTTCCCCTTAAATTGGGTCTTTCTCGTTATATTAGCCATCCAATGAAATGTTGATAGCTCCCAAACCTCCACTCCCAGGTGCTGTCCTGCGTATACTCAAAAGCAGAGATCCTATGGAGTGTTTGGTGCGAGAGTGAACTGGACTCAGGTAGATTCAGGCTCTGCCCCTTATAAGCTGTATTACCTCTGCCTCAGGGTTCTCCTCTGTAATGTGGGGTTAATGTCAGTTATGACCTTATGGACTGAGTTTGAGGGTAGTTGTCTTGAGCACAGTTGGTGCTCTGTGAATAGTATTTTTTATTTTTATTGTGATCAGGATGATGGTGGTGGTGATGTCATTCCTTTGCTTAAATGTCTTCATTGGTCCTTCTTTTCCTACAGGATAAAATCAAATCCCTGACCCTGGCATTTTGAATTACGCCCACAATCTGATTGTCCCAGACGTTTCTTCTAGATTGACTCCATCTTCTCCCATGCTAAAAACTCTGCATCAGCATTTTCATTTTCTTTGCGGTGATCCTCAGTGCCACATACAGAATGAGCAGTCAAGATCGTCTTTGACCTTGATGGTCCCTACACACAGTAAGCGCCTCAGAGTTCATTTGTTAAATGAACAGCTACATCTGAAATTAGAGATATATTACTGGATTTTATTATTGCAATATTAGGCTATACCCGAGAATCTATGTAAACCTCCTTTGAATCTGATTACATTTTCACTTTGTACAGCCCATCAGCGTAGTTAGCTACAGGAGTTGATTTCCTCTGAGCAGCTATGGTTTTACAAGACCTGCTTGGGAAGTAACGTGAAGTAGCAGCATGAGGGGCTGGGGAACCCAGGCTCAGTTCTGCTGATGGGTTCCGTGGCATTGTCTACCTCCCCTCACTTCTGAGCTTTGATGTCTCCAGTTCATTAATATGAGCTGATTATCCTCATCTACCATGGTGGTCTTCAAGATGAAGCAAGGCCATATGCGGAGAACACAGTACAAATCCTGATGTCCCAAACTCACCTCTCAAGTTTTAGCATTTCCCTTTATGAAAGTTAACCAGGTCAGTGTCCTCTTACTAGAATTCAGTAAATAAATATTTAAAGTCCATCTCCATGATTGTTTCATGGCTCTTGAAAAGCTTTCCTCTTTTTCTCTGTCTTTATCCGGAAAAGCCCACATCTCCCTTATCATTTCACAGCCTCAACTCTGGACCTTTTCTATTAGGTTATTTCTTTGTTTAGGTTCAGTGATCTGACGAGCGCACACCATATCCATGGGGTGAATGTCCTTAGGTTGGAGTAGAGATGGGGATATGAGGCATGTCTCATTTCCAGAGCTGGTCCTGATGCAGCATCGCATAATGGTTAGGAACATGGGTTTTAGCATCATACTTCCTGTGTTCAAAGCCCGGCTCCACCACCTGGGCAAATTACTCTAAGCTTTAGTTTCCTTATCTGTAAAATGAGAATACTAGACATTTCTGCCTTTTAATTGCTCCCTACTCTTTTCTTGGAGGGGGGAGGTGTGTGTGCATGCTCAGTCGCTAAGTCGTGTCTGACTCTTTGTGACCCCATGGACTGCAGACCACCAAGCTCCTCTGTCCATGGGGTTTCCCAGGCAAGAATACTGGAGTGGGTTGCCATTTCCTCCTCCAGGGGATCTTGCTGACCCAGGGATTGAACCTGTGTCTCCTGCATTGGCAGGAGATTCTTTACCACTGTATCACCTGGGAAATCTCATTCCTGAGGCAAGCATTAGAAGTCTTTTATCTTCTAGAATCAGCAATTACTGTCCTGAAGGCTTATTTAAACTTCAGCATTGTTCATTCATTCATTCACCAAATACTTATTGGTTCTTGAGCTGTTTTTCAGATACTATATTGGTCTTAAGAGGGGCGGATACAAGGCCTGCCCCAGGAGGATGCTAGAGACCACCTCAGACCACCTGGGGGAAGCTGATGATGACATTTTCAGGGTTTTTGCAAGCCACAATTGTTGGTAGCTTGAAATCTGTCATGGTAGTTGTATTTACACCAGGGAAGTCTGCACTGAAGATGCTACAGACACTATCAATCAGTCCCACCCACCCTACCCAGCCAGCGTACCACCCGCTGTTATGGGAGGAGGCAGCTGCTAGTCAGATAGTCACAGTAGTGAATGGAAAGCCAGTGGTATGCACCACGAAGGAAAGGTCTTTAGCGATAGGAGACCTTGTAACTGAGAGGTCCGACCTCGTCAAGGAGGTCCGGGCAGGTGATAGATGAGCCAGAGCCTGAAGGGACAGTAGCAATGACCTGGAGGAGGAGGGATGTGAGGGTCCTGATAAATGATCCCCAGGACTGAGGCCGGAGTGCAGAGTGGGGAAAGTTTTAGCAGTGGGCAGTATGAGCAGCTTTGCGCTATAATGAGATTACTGTGGCTGCAGGGTGAGAAGTGGGCTATGGGGCAGGTGGGGACAGTGAAGAGGCTGCTGCAGTGACCCTGGCCAGAGGAGAGGATGGAAGCTTAGAGAAGGGAGGTGACAGTGGCAAAGAACAGACAAAGGTGGACTAGAGTGAGATGGCAGGGGCGAGGGCTTGGGGAGGGGTGAAACGCAGAGGGCTCAGCCTGGGACTGGATAGGAGGGCGAGGGAAGGCGCCGTGTCTGGTAAATCTCCCAGTGGGTGGAGCTCAGCACCCCACGGTGTGGTGATGGTCCTGCTCACCTTTGTCTGGGTGTGCTACTGCTGGCTCACTCAGGGACTCGAGCACGGTCCTCAACCGTGTGAATGGCTGCCGGACGGAAAACCTGTGTGGCAGGACCAGGATCAAAGAGAGGAAGCAAGAAGGCATTGGGTACCAGAAAGAACTTCGGGCAAGTTGTCCAGTCTGAATAGTCTATTCTAGGAGGTGGTGAGCTCCTCAGAGCTGGAGTGTCCAGGTGGAAGCTGGACCAGCACATTGCAGGGACACCACAATGGGATGGGATTTCCCAATTATGGGAGTCATGGAGAACATAGTTTTCTGGAAATACCTTGCCCAATTGTTGTTGCTCAGTCGCTAAGTCATGTCCAATTTTTTGCAGTGCCATGGACTACAGCATGCCAGGCTCTCAGGTCCTTCAGAATCTCCCAGAGTTTGCTTAAACTCATGTCCATTGAGTCGGTGATGCCATCCAACTATCTCATACCCTGACTCTGCCTTCTCCTTTTGCCTTCGATCTTTCCTGGCATTGGGGTCTCTTCCAGTGAGTTGGCTCTTTGCATCAGGTG